TTCACACGTTTATAAACGGCGTTTTGATTAATGATTTTGGGTCCATTAAGTTTGAACAAGATAGGGTTTATGGCATCTTGTAAATTGTACTTTTCTGGGGCTATTTGAGTCTAGCTGCTGTTAACTCTTGTTTGAGTTGAGCAAAGCACGGTAAGACTTGTCGCAATTTCTCCTGCTATTAAAATATTCATCCATAATGTTAATATACACATTTGTGTCATGCTTTTCTGATGGCTCTATAGGCAGCAGCTACATATTTTTGACACAAGGTAGGGGACTATTGGGCCATACCTGAGTAAGACTTTCCATTGGATAGCGGTTCATTGGTTGTCTAAATATTTGTAGATGGGAAGACTAAAGGCAACATTTTGTTGGTCAGCAGGGTGAAAGGGATTGTAAAAAAGGCCAGTCTTTAAGGGTCAATAATGATTTTAAATATTTTTAGGGGAAATCGCAACCGGTGGAAAGGCAATCCCTGGTTGTAAGGCACCTAAGGACCATAGTGATATTTACTGCTCTTAAATCTTGGTAAGAGGTCTCCATTTACCAGACTTCCTTTTCAATAAACAAAAAATAGGGTGTGTTCTCAAGGGAGAGTACTTTTTACATTGTCTGCTACTAGTTGTTCCTGCCACTTAACATGGTTGGGCAGCACTAGTGTTATCATTGGCGTAAAGGCCACTGATCAACCCAAAACGGGCTCATCTGATCCAAGTAATGGGGTTTAGGGCTACTTTGGGGTGCAGGTATGTCGTGCCTGAAGCTCAACAATTTCCTAAACCCCTTTTTATCAAATTGTTCCTGAAACTGTATAGGCTGTGGATACCGTTTCTCTTTCTCCAAGACCTTTACCAGGGGTGTATTCCTTGGTTAACTTCTGTGTTGCAGCTAAACTATATCATTTTGGACTACACATTATATTTTCATTTGAGAAGCAGATCTCGCCCCCAAAGGTTACAGGTAGGTAGGGAGCAAATGGCCTTGAAATGAGGGCTGATTGTTTTATCTGTCATGTTATGGTTATTAGAACTTTGTTGGATTACTTGCTTTGCCCAATTCCTCTCAGGTGAGTTAAAATCTCTGTTGGTAGGAATGGAGAGCGCCAACTTCCTGTTTAATGCATCCATGAGCCCCTGTTCTATTAACCCAGTAAATGCCTTCCCGTCTAACCGTAGGGTTCAGAGAGGTTTTTGATTTGTAATTGGTTGGCACCAATATATTTCTGATGATCCAAAAACCTTTTAATTTTCATTAGAGTATTGGATATTATTACTGTTTTAACCAAAGTTAGGCAGGGATTAACTGAAGCTATTTTCTAACTCCCCCGGACAGTAATAATACTATCAATAGGCTCTGGCATAATTTTATTTTCCTTTTCAATAATCATTATCGATAACTCCCAAGGAGGACTTGTAAGGCCTCTCCATGTGGGGCCATCTTCCAAATAGGCCAAAGTATTTAATAGTCCTGAAAGACATCCCACTTAGCATATTTTTGTATCATGGAGTTTCCTTCCGGGGAACAGCAGGCAAGTATCTTTTAACAAATCAAAAAATTTAAAAATCATTACTTTAACCTTTACTCCTCGTATCTTTAAAGCCTGTTTAATTTGTCCTTACAATTGATGTGACATTTAATTCCTTGTCCCATTTCGACGCGCATACCTGTCGATTCTGACGGCGGCGGGTTTCCGCGGTTGATCGAAAAAAAGTTAATTTCTTTTGTCTTTGTTAGCCGGTCGACGGTCCTTTGGCGGTCCTTCTTCTTCCGGAGTCCTCGTTTCCAGGTCCTGTGGGCGCCACGTATCCCGGCCCGCGGATCGTCACTGCAGCCTGGAAGAGGCGGTGGAATTTGGGGAACAAGAGATACGAGAAATGGAGGACAAGACAGTGCTCTGATCAAGTCCCTTTTTAATGGCGGTAAATGCAGTGCTTATATACACTTGGAGGGGAAGGGTTGCCAAGGCGAAAATGATCTCATCGCGGAGGGTGTGGCCAGGTAGGTATTGGTAGGGCTGTGTCGAACGTCATGTGGCGCCTGCGTGTCAGGTAGCAATTTTCGCGGGGCGGGGAACAATGGGTGAAGAAGAAGCAGGGAAGGCACCATCTTTTTATGAGTCTGAATAACAGGATTAATACAGGGGAAAAGGCAAAGATAGGGAGGAGGTGTAAAGCTCAGGCGTTTTTAATCGTCAATTATTATTCGCTATGGCCGGGGCGTGCAGCTCCGGACAAAAGTGAGAGGATCGCTTGAGTCCAGGAGCTGGAGACCAGCCTGGGCAACACAGTGAGACCCCCACTCTACAAAAAATCAAAAAAGTAGGGCCGGGCACGGTGACTCACGCCTGTAATCCCAGCACTTTGGGAGGCCGAGGCAAGTGGATCACCTGAGGTCAGGAGTTCGAGACCAGCCTGGAGAACATGGTGAACCCCTGTCTCTACTAAAAACACAAAATTAGCCAGGTATGATGGTGTGTGCCTATGGTCCCAGCTATTTGGGGGGCTGAGGCAGGAGAATCGCTTGAACCTGTGAGGCGGAGGCTGCAGTGAGCCAAGATCGCACCATTGCACTCCAGCCTGGGCAACAAGAATGAAACTCCGTCTCAAAAAATAAAAATAAAAAAAATTTAAAAATCAAAAAATTAGCTGGGTGTAGTGGCACATGCCTGTAACTCTCAGCTACTCAGGAGGTTGAAGTGGGAGGATGGCTTGAGTCCTGGAGGTCAAGGCTGCAGTGAGCTGAGATGGTGCCACTGCACTCCAGCCTGGCAAACAGTATCTTGTCTCAAAAAAAAATAAATGGTCGTTAAATAAGAGATGGCATTCATCATTCTCAGCAAACTAACACAGGAACAGAAAACCAAACACCACATGTTCTCACTCATAAGTGGAAGTTAACAATGAGAACACATGGACGCAGAGAGGGGAACATCACACACCGCAGCCTGTCGGGGGTTGGGGGCAAGGTGAGGGAGAGCACCTAATGTATGTGGGGCTTAAAACCTAGATGATAGGTTGATGGGTGCAGCAAACCACCATGGCACATGTATACCTGTGTAACAAACCTGCATGTTCTGCACATGTATCCCAGAACTTAAAGGAAAATTTTTAAAAATGAGATGGCATTGTATATCTGATTAATCAACTAAAACATTATTTAAGCAATATCCAACAGTTTGTTATTGATGGTGTAAACTGGTACAGTCTTTTGGGGGAGCAATAGTGTCATCAGTCATTTCTGTCCTTATCTTTTGCCCGGGTAACTTCATTGTTGCAAATTCATCATAAAATAACGTCTTAATCTGTTTGGGCTGTTAGGACGAAATACCATAAAGTAGGTAGTTTATTAACAACAGAAATTTATTTTCTCACAGTTTTGGAGGCTGGGAAGTCCATGATAAGGCACAAGCGGATTCAGTGTCGGGTGAGGGCCTGCCTGTGGTGCACAGACAGTGTGCCTTCTAGCTGTGTTCTCATGTGGTGGAAGGAGCCGACTCTGGGGTCATTTCATACTGGCACTAATCCCATTCATGAGAGCTCTCCCTTCAAACTCTGTTCACCCCCAAAGGCCCACCTCCTAATACCATCATCACCTTGAGGGGTTAGATTTCAACATGAATTTGGGGGATCACATTCAGATCATAAGTTATATATAACTTAAAAAGAAGAAAAATGTGGAATTCATGGAGATGTTCAGGGCAGTATGGATTACACTGAAAAACTGTCAACAACCTACATGCCCAGTAAAAGGGAAACAACCAAGAAAAGTCTGTGTCGTGTTCACGCGCTGGCAGGAAACATAGAGCAGGCAGGGAAAGGAAAGGGACTCGAGGAACGCGCTGTACCAACAGGAGGCAGCACCCCTTTGCCCGAGAGGCTCAACGACAGAAACCTAAGGCTACCTGGGCCGGAGTGGGGTGAGGCCGCGGAGAACGCACCCCGCTAGGCGGCTGCCGAGACGGAGGCTGGCGTTTCGACCACTGCCCGACAATGTGCTTACTCAGGTAGGATTCCGAAAAAATTCAGTCGCGCGTCCCTTCTGAGGTTTCGCAGCTCGCCAGGCCCGGCCCGGGCTGCTGCGGCTGCGCACTGCGGCCCAGCGGAGCGGGCCCGGGAAGCCCGAGCTCCTGTCAGCTCAGCCGGGCGCACGCAGGCCGGGGCGGGCGGCGCGGTTATCCCCGCCCCGCACGCTGCTCTGCCTAGCAGCCTCAGAGGCTGGCGGACCCGCGCGGGGCGGGCACAGCGGAGCGCGCCGGCGGCCCTGGGTCCAGCGGCAGCGCGGCTGAGGCGCGCGGAGCAGAGGGCTACGGGTGGGCGGGCACCCGCCTTCGCCTGCGTCGCTGCCTGCGCCGCTGCCTGCGCCGCTGCCTGCGCGCGGACCGCCGCCCCCGGGCATGTGAGGACCGGCAGCTCGGCCTACCGCGCCCGGAGCGGCTCGGAGGCCGGGCGCTGACGGTAACGGGCCGGGTGCGCGCGGGGGAGGGCTCTGGCTGCCCCGACCGAGGCCGGGCTCCGGCTCCGGCGGCGGGAGCGCGATCGGCGCTGCGGCGTCAGAGGGGCCGGGAGGGGGCTGGAGGCGGCCTGAGGCCCGGACCGGGCTCCTGTCTCTGCGGTCCCCGGGGCTGACGGAGTCGGGGCGGGTGGGGAGGCAGCCGGGCCGGCCCGCGGGCGGCCAGAGACGCGGCGGCAGGTGCCTGTCCTCTGTGATCCAACTCTCTCCCCAGCTCCACCCACACTGGCCTGGACCCAGTCTCTAACGGCTAAAAATATTGCCCGAAGGCTCCCGAGCAGAATCAGATCGCGCTAAGTAGGGCACAACGCAGAGGCGACAGAGCTCCTCGGCCCCAGGGCCCGCGGAGCAGACTCCGGAACGCCGTCCGGCCCACGCTCGGCTCTGCAGTTAGCGTCCTCCGTCCTCCTGAGCAGGCAAGCGGGGCCTGAGGGCGGTGGCGGCTGGGGGCACGGGTCCCCTGAAGTTGCCTCGCAACCGAGCACTGGACCCGGTCTCTCCCTTCCCAGGGGGCCTTCGGCATCACTGTAGGCTTCCTAGGGGTCCCCTAAGTGCTCTGCAAACCGCGGCTGGAAGTTTCCCACTGCAGGAATCAGTATACGAACAGGGAGAACACATAGGGCTTGCTTTATGCTAGAAACACAAGCATCTTTCTTCTTTATTAGAAAGAAATGCATTCTGTGTTTCTGAGAAAGGATTTGTGCCAGGCGCTGTTTCTGGTGAGTGCCAGTTTGACCCTAAAGGGCACTGAGAAAGACTTTCCTATTAGTCTCTTTGGGTTCTGGCTAAACTTTAAAATCAAACAAAATAGAAACCAGCTTATTCACCTGAAACTAGAAGCACATGGCCGAGGAGCCTGAACAGGCACCTCCTATCTAGGCAGGGAAGCTGTTGTAATCAGGAGCTTGTGTGGCACACTCCAGTCAGAGCTGGGTCTCTCATCCTGGGCCCATTTTTCACAGCACCAGCCAAAGGAGAACGTCCTCTCCACCCTAGGGGCAGAGCTGCTACCAGGACCAGGTGGGGCCAGCCCCAGATGTGCTACTTGTGCTCTGAGTCTCAGCAAGACAATAAAATCAAGGCTGGGTCAGGATCCCCAACTGGTGTTGGGTTTTGGCATTTCAAAGCTGGCTTTTTATTAGAGCCAGGCAAATGGGTGTTCCTTGGGAACAGCCCTTAGGAACTCACTGGGGCATTTGGTGGAAAGACTGCCATGGGGATTTTGCATGCTGGAGGTACAGATGGTGTCCTTCCTGCCAGGTGTATGTGGAGGCCAGTATGAAGCTGAAAAAGCAGGTGACAGTGTGTGGGGCTGCTATCTTCTGTGTGGCAGTCTTCTCGCTCTACCTCATGCTGGACCGAGTGCAGCATGATCCCACTCGACACCAGAATGGTGGGAACTTCCCCCGGGTGAGTCGTGCCTGGTTGCTAATTTCTTTGTATACAAGTCACCTGGGTTCAGGGTATTGCCTGCCCCCCTCCCCCCGCCGACACCCCCCACCACCCCGCTGGAGGGTAATGTCAGTACAGGACAGGAGCAATAGTCAGGTTTTGTAGAAACCTCAGCTAAAAACAGTGATGGCGAAAAGAAGGAAGGAAGAAAAAAAATGTCAATGGCAATGAGTATTGTCGCTCTGTTCTCCTGAATTCTTTTCTTTTCTTTTCTTTTTGAGGCAGAGTCTTGCTCTGTCGCCCCGCCTTGAGTGTAGTGGCGCAATCTTGGCTCACTGCAACCTCCGCCTCCCTGGTTCAAGTGATTCTCCTGCCTCAGCCTCTGAGTAGCTGGGACTACAGGAGCCTGCCACCATGCCTGGCTACTTTTTGTATTTTTAGTAGAGATGAGGTTTCGCCATGTTGGCCAGGTTGGTCTTGAACTCCTGACCTCAGGTGATCCACCTGCCTCGGCCTCCCAAAGTGCTGGGATTACAGGTGTGAGCCACTGTGCCCAGCCCCTCTTGAATTCTTGGCAGACATTGCTAATTGATTGCAGCATTCTTTGCCATTAAGCCCCACTGAAATCCTTCTCAGCACAGACAACACTGATTGTTGAGAACAGGTATGTGAAAGGAAATCTTTGCCCTGGGCTAGACAGTGAAGGTTCTCCCAACCCAAGTGGAGTGTAGTCCTCAGTGGTGAGGTGCACAGCTCCCTTTGTCTGAATGGTATAATCTATCCCTGTAGGCTCATGGTCTGGCTTTAACTGATGAGGGAAGAATTGTAGTTAGACCTCAGCTGGTGAACCCCAAGCAGAGACCCTCCCTGTGGCATAAGGAGCTGTGTGTGATTGCTTTTTGATTTTTTGGCAGAGCCAAATTTCTGTGCTGCAGAACCGCATTGAGCAGCTGGAGCAGCTTTTGGAGGAGAACCATGAGATTATCAGCCATATCAAGGACTCCGTGCTGGAGCTGACAGCCAATGCAGAGGGCCCGCCCGCCATGCTGCCCTACTACACGGTCAATGGCTCCTGGGTGGTGCCACCGGAGCCCCGGCCCAGCTTCTTCTCCATCTCCCCCCAGGACTGCCAGTTTGCTTTGGGGGGCCGGGGCCAGAAGCCAGAGCTGCAGGTAAGAGTCAGAGCTGGCAGGGATGTACAGCGGCCACAACTGGGGCACTGAGCTACAATTCACCTGGCAGATGCTCACTGTGTCGGAGGAGTTGCCGTTTGACAATGTGGATGGTGGCGTGTGGAGGCAAGGTTTCGACATCTCCTATGACCCGCACGACTGGGATGCTGAAGACCTGCAGGTGTTTGTGGTGCCCCACTCTCACAATGACCCAGGTGAGGGCCCCGCAGACTCCTGGGAGCTGGAGTGTGGAGTGGGATTTCTGATGGCCAGTGCAAGGGAGGGATGTCGAAGAAGATGGTGGCATCCTCAGGGGATCTTACATTGGCTCCCTAGGCTGGATCAAGACCTTTGACAAGTACTACACAGAGCAGACCCAACACATCCTCAATAGCATGGTGTCTAAGCTGCAGGAGGACCCCCGGCGGCGCTTCCTCTGGGCAGAGGTCTCCTTCTTCGCCAAGTGGTGGGACAACATCAATGCCCAAAAGAGAGCGGCAGTCCGAAGGCCAGTGCCAGGCGGAGAGGCGTGGGAGGGCATCGTCTGAGCCCTAGGCTGGGTGGATGGGTCTTACCTTAAGCTGTGGGTGCCAAGGTGGCAGGGAGAGGCCCAGGGAGCTGTGGCAGAGATGAGTGATGGTGGAGGGAGGGAAGGCAAGAACAGATAGAGGTTCTGAGATAAGCGGGGCCAGAACAGCAGGGAGGTTGGCTGCAAGGAAAGGAGGGCAAGTGTATGCTCTCTTGGTCCTGGGCTTGGGAGAACTGGTTCAGTGAGGCCAGTGCGCACAGGCCCTGACAATTTCTTGTTGCCAGGCCTGGGCAAAGCGTCCTGCTCCATCTTGAGTGTGAGTCCTTAACTATAGGCTGGTGGGAAACGGGCAGCTGGAGATTGCGACAGGAGGCTGGGTGATGCCGGATGAGGCCAACTCCCACTACTTTGCGTTGATTGACCAGCTCATTGAAGGACACCAGTGGCTGGAGAGAAATCTTGGTGAGTCCAGGCCCAGGCATGGGGGTCTGCCCCCTGGACTGGGCCCACAGTGCTATGGCAGGGGGCTGTAAGGCACAGGGATCAGCAGGGGGTGGTTCCTTTCTAGACAGATCCCATCATGTGGGCCTGGTGTGATGTAATCTGTCCACTGACTACCAAGACAAGAGCTGGGGTCCCAGCACCTGGGAGGCTGAGAGACCAGGCCCTGAGGTGTGTTCAGGGCCTCTCTGGCTTCCATGCCCTACCCAGGTGCAACCCCCCGCTCTGGCTGGGCAGTGGACCCCTTTGGACACAGCTCCACCATGCCTTACCTGCTGCGCCGTGCCAACCTCACCAGCATGCTGATTCAGAGAGTGCACTATGCCATCAAGAAGCACTTTGCTGCCACCCACAGCCTAGAGTTCATGTGGAGGCAGACATGGGGTAAGGCCAGGTAGGGTAGAGGGGGTCAACACAGCATAGTCTTCACTGGGGAAGAGCAGGGATATCAGAACTAAGACCCCCACTGTTCTTCAGAGCAGACTTGCAGGCACTGGTGTGGACTGCCAGAAATGGTCCCACCCTCTGGTTAGGGGAGGGTCACATTGACCTCTGGCCTCTACAGGGCCTGCTGTCCCAAGGGCTTCAGTGTGCCCTGTGTGCCCATCCCCTGAAGGAGCGCCTCATGTCTTTCCCCCTGGCCTACACACTCTCTCCGGCCCTAGGTCCAGTTACAGCCTCATGGTCTATCAAGGCTGCCTTTTGCCCAAGCACATCCTTGCCCTCCTGACATCCAAAGGCTGCCTGCTGGCGTTGACCACGTGGTGTGTCTTCTGCAGACTCGGACTCCAGCACAGACATCTTCTGTCACATGATGCCCTTCTACAGCTATGACGTCCCCCATACCTGTGGCCCGGATCCCAAGATCTGCTGCCAATTTGATTTCAAACGCCTGCCTGGTGGGCGCATCAACTGCCCTTGGAAGGTGCCACCCCGGGCCATTACAGAGGCCAATGTGGCAGAGAGGTATCTGCTTCCAACCCTTTCACTTCACAGAGGAATCAGGAGGCCTGGCTCTGGTCTGGGCCATGCCACATGGAAGGTGGGCTCAGATGGTGAGTTGAGGCTCACAGCATCTGCAGCAGCTCCTTACTAAGTCTCCTGAAAAACGAATGGCTCTAGCAACCACCTTTCACAGAATACTTTTATTTTCTCACGTGAGTACTTTTTGGTGCTCTGACAAACTGCCAGGGCAAGGTGACAGCTTAGAGGTGAATGATTCCCTTGTTAGGCATTGTAGCTTACAAACTTCAGGCTCTTGTGTCTTCACTTAGTGCCAGTGTTCTGACTTGGCTTTCAGTCAACCACGAGAATCCTGTTCAGATCCATATTCAGTCCCGCAAGATAGCCTCCAGCCTCTGAGAAAACAGACCTGTCCCCTTTGAGAAAATTTAGGGACCCCTAAAGATATCACTCTTCTTGAAATCAGGGCCCAGGCGAAAGTGTTGGTGAAGAGTTGATCCAAACGGCAATTTAGTCAGAACCTTAAGAATACAACAAGTTGGACTGGTTTTTATGTTGCAATGCTCTGATTTCTCCCTGATGTCCAAGAGTTGAAACACGTGACCAAAAGGGAAATAAAGTGGTCTTTTGTTTCCAGAAGTCTAAATGCTGATTCCAGGCAAGAGTCTAGGGCTATGAAGGCATGATGTTTCTTAAAGCGGCAGTTGTGATCAGTGAGGCTGGCCTGGGTTTGTAAGAACAGGCCCTGAAAGGTAATCATTTTCTCCTTTGAAAGGCTTACTAGACTGATAAGTTAGAGGAAAGTAGTATTTGAGGAATCCTCTCACGAGAACAAAGTAGAAAAGTACAAGCTGGGCCAGCGCCGCTAAGTAGATTAGTTGACTCTTTGGGTTGTGATATTTATAACATGCCAATTAAAGCAGGAAAGGGCTTCTGCTGATATGCCACAGGGCTGTTTTTCTGCTGATTTTGCCAATAATTTGGATGAAAAGAAAAATGTTTGTGTATAGTTCCTATTATGTACCAGGCACTGTTCTAAGTGTTTAACAAATATTCATTCCATTCATTTAATTTTAAATTTTTTTTTTTTTTTTGAGATGGAGTTTCTGTCCCCCGGGCTGGAGTGTGGTGGCATGATTTCGGCTCACTGCAACCTCCACCTCCTGGGTTCAAGTGGTTCTCCTGCCTCAGCCTCCCAAGTAGCTGGGATTGCAGGTGTGCGCCACAACACCTGGCTGATTTTTGTATTTTTAGTAGATATGGGGTTTCACCATGTTGGCCAGGCTGGTCTTGAATTCCTGACCTCGGGTGATCCGCCTGCCTTGGTCGCCCAAAATGCTGGGATTACAGGCGTGAGCCACTGTGCTCAGCCCATTCAATCCATTTTAATTCTCATAACATTATATGGGTACCTACTGATGTTATCCTTATTTTGCCAGAAACAGAGGCTCAGAGAGGTTACTTGCCCACGGTCACTCAGCTAGTACTTGCGGAGCTGGTGTGATGTGGCTCCGGGATCCAGACTCTTAACTCTGGTGCTGCATCACTAACTTGTGGGCAAAATGAGGCGGGAGTGTCAGAACAAGGATCCCAAAACATCTCAACAGCCTAAGCATAAAAAACAACATTCTGGCTGTCAGAACTGCCCAGAGAACACTGGATTTCCCTGGGGCTGGTATTCATGTGCAGGAGGTGTCCATCTGCGCTGAACCACTCCTTGATGGACGGGATGTCTTCCAGGGGCTTGCTGGCGGGATGGCTGTGCGTGGCGCTCTTTTACTGATGACACTTCATGTTGGGCCCATGTTTTTTTCCTGCCCCAGGGCAGCCCTGCTCCTGGACCAATACCGGAAGAAGTCCCGGCTGTTCCGAAGCAACGTCCTCCTCGTGCCTCTTGGAGATGACTTCCGATATGACAAGCCCCAGGAGTGGGATGCCCAATTCTTCAACTACCAGCGGCTCTTTGACTTCTTCAACAGCAGGCCTAACCTCCATGTACAGGTGTGAGGGGAACTTGTCTGGGGAGGGGACCTCGCAGTGCTGCAGCCCACCCCTTCCTGTGAGACCGTGCCCTGGGTTCCCAACTCCAAAGCAGGGGTTCCTTCCCAACTCTTGGGCAAGGTGCCTCTTTTGTGTCAGAATTAATTCCCAGGCTCCCCCACTTCTGTTAAGTCCAGAATGGCAGGATATACAGTTCCTGCTTCTGAGGCCAGAGCCCCTGCCTCACCCCTGACTGCAGCACTGTGGCCACAATTTCCAGGAGGCTCTAGAACTGATGGGAGTGGGTTTTTGGGGTTCCCACAGGCCCAGTTTGGCACTCTTTCTGACTATTTTGATGCCCTGTACAAGAGGACAGGGGTGGAGCCAGGGGCCCGGCCTCCAGGGTTTCCTGTGCTGAGCGGGGATTTCTTCTCCTATGCGGACCGGGAGGATCATTACTGGACAGGCTATTACACTTCCCGGCCCTTCTACAAGAGCTTAGACCGAGTCCTGGAAGCCCACCTGCGGTGAGACCCTGTCCCCGCTTCCAGGCTGGAGGGGGAGGGTCAGCCTGTGGGATTTAAGGAGGGGCTGGATCGGCTCAGAAGGGAATAGGTAGGCCCAGAGGCCAGGGCAGGTAGAGAAGGGGTGGGAAGGAAGGAGGCTGGACTGGCAGAGCGTGGGTGGGCCCTGGGGAGTGGTGCAGGCTGGCAGCTAACTTCTCTCTCTGGGCAGGGGGGCAGAGGTTCTATACAGCCTGGCTGCAGCTCACTCCCGCCACTCTGGCCTGGCTGGCCGGTACCCGCTGTCTGACTTCACCCTCCTGACGGAAGCTCGGCGCACACTGGGGCTCTTCCAGCATCATGACGCCATCACTGGCACTGCCAAGGAGGCCGTGGTGGTGGACTATGGGGTCAGGTGGGAGCCTTCTCTTCTCCCTTGTCAGGTCCCCCGCTCACTGTCCCAAAGAAGGGATGTTGGGTGTGGTCAGGGGATAGGTCGGCCTAGGGCTTGTCCTGCTGACAAAGCAGACGGCTTCCCTATGATCATCTCTCCTTCCCTCTCCTGCACCACCCACAGGCTTCTGCGCTCCCTTGTCAACCTGAAGCAGGTCATCATTCATGCAGCTCACTATCTGGTGCTGGGGGACAAGGAGACCTACCACTTTGACCCTGAGGCACCCTTCCTCCAAGTGGTGAGCCCCTCCTGGGTCTGCATGGGGACCCTCCGGTGTGTGCAGGTGGCATCCCAAGAGCTACTGGATGAGGGTGCCACTCCTCTTTTTCCTTCCCCACCTGAATGAGTTCTGTGCCCAGTGCAGCTGCTGGTCCGCACCCGGGGCAGGTGGGGTGGGAGGAGGCTGAGCCCATGACGGTTCTTCCCTTCTGGCCCACTGAATTCCAGGATGACACTCGCTTAAGTCACGATGCCCTGCCAGAGCGCACGGTGATCCAGCTGGATTCCTCGCCCAGGTAAGCTGGACTACACCAGGTGCAGAGAGGCAGAGCCATTCCCTGGTTCTCAGGCCCCTCTGCCCCAGTGTGTGCTGAACCACTGCAGGGTGCTTGCTCTGACCGGAAGTAGTGGCCTCCTGGGTCAGCCCACCTTCTATGCACAGGTTTGTGGTGCTATTCAACCCGCTGGAACAGGAGCGGTTCAGCATGGTGTCCCTGCTGGTCAACTCGCCCCGTGTACGCGTCCTTTCGGAGGAGGGTCAGCCCCTGGCCGTGCAGATCAGCGCACACTGGAGCTCTGCCACTGAGGTGGTCCCTGATGTCTACCAGGTGAGGTGCGGGCTCGTCAGGTGAGCCTGGCCCTCTGCCCATCGTGGGCCCCTCCCCGCCTGGCGATGCCAGCTTCCCACCCTCCTGCTTGTGGCCCTGCTTACTCCCCAGGCTGAGGACAGGTGTGCTGGGAAGGGGGTTGTCCAGCAGACAGGTACTCTTGGGATTTGAGTCTGTCCTTGAAAAGAAGGGGAAGGTTGGTATGGTAATAGTAATGGTAAAAATAGCAGTTATAATGCCCCATCATTCAGTCAATTGATGTATATCGAAAGCTTAATGTGTGGTTACCACTTCATACTTTTTCAAATATCACTTGAGAATCATAACGTCTGAAGAGGAAGAAAGGGCAAATCATATCACCTCCACTTTGGAGGTGGGGCAGAGGCCCCAGTGGGTACAGGGACTTGCTCACGCCCTCTGTTAGTAAGCAAATGCCCCAGCACCCCTGTGGCGAATGCCATGCCCCCACTTCCTCACCCCTCCTGTGCCCACAGGTGTCTGTGCCTGTCCGCCTGCCAGCCCTGGGCCTGGGCGTGCTGCAGCTACAGCTGGGCCTGGATGGGCACCGCACGCTGCCCTCCTCTGTGCGTGTCTACCTGCACGGCCGGCAGCTGTCTGTCAGCAGGCACGAAGCGTTCCCTCTCCGTGTCATTGACTCTGGCAGCAGTGACTTCGCCCTCAGCAACCGCTACATGCAGGTCTGGTTCTCAGGCCTTACTGGGCTCCTCAAGGTAAAAGGCCAGGGTGGTGGGGAAGGGCCAGGGGCCAGAGCAGGGCGTGTGTGGTGGTGGCACTGTGCAGAGTGACCTCCCGGCCCTTTGAGCATTCTGCCACCTGACCCACAGTGGACCCAGGCCTGGGACGTCTCAGCTCCAGCCTGACAGCATGGGGAAGCTGGGCGTGGCTCCTTGGGGAAGCTAGTCCATGTCCTCCCAGGAGGCAGGCCTGACATGCTGGTGTGGGGCCAGGGGTCAGGGCTGTGTTTTTTGGCAGAGCATCCGAAGGGTGGATGAGGAGCAGGAGCAGCAGGTGGACATGGAATTCCTAGTCTATGGCACCCGTACGTCCAAAGACAAGAGTGGAGCCTACCTCTTCCTGCCCGATGGCGAGGCCAAGGTATGCTAAATATGCCTTGAACAACCTGGCAGGCCCTGGGAGGTCTCATCAGCAGGGAGGGCAGGAGGGGGCACAGGCCTTCCCACAGGTTTATTGCTGCCTGCCGGGGCCTTGTCTTTCCTGTTCAGCCCAGGGGTATCTAGGAATAGGTGCTCTCTTGCCCAGCCCTGGGCTGGCACCTCCCTGCTTTGCCCTCTGTGCCATAGTTTCAATAGCAGTCTGCTCTTTCCCCAGCCCTATGTCCCCAAGGAGCCCCCTGTGCTGCATGTCACTGAAGGCCCTTTCTTCTCAGAGGTGGTTGCATACTATGAGCATGTTCACCAGGTGGTCCGGCTTTACAATCTGCCAGGTGAGCCCCGCCCATGAGGAATTATCTGGAAGGAGGTGTGGGCTCTACAGCTGTGGTGTGTTCTTCCTTCTGCTGCTTCTCTGTTCATACCTCTGTTCCATATCATTTGAGACAGGGATGCTCCATTCTCTTGGAGAAAAAGTCATCCAGAAATGCCCTGGGAATTTCTTGGGAGGGTGGACAGAGCCTCTCCCCAGCTCGGCTCTGATCCCCCAGCCCAGCCTCTTAGCTGTGGTTCAGCCTCACACCTCTCCATGCCACCACTTTGTTCCTGTGCCCAGGGGTGGAGGGGCTGTCTCTGGACATATCATCCCTGGTGGACATCCGGGACTACGTCAACAAGGAGCTGGCCCTGCGCATCCATACAGACATCGACAGCCAGGGTATCTTCTTCACAGACCTCAATGGCTTTCAGGTGACTCCTGGGCCTGGGTCTCGGAGACCCCACAGAGTAGAACTTGGACTGTGCTTTTGACCCTATCACAGGCCCTGGGGGATGATCTGTCCTGATGGAGAAAGAGGAATGAAGAGGCGAGAGTGATCAGGGACTCCTTCCATCTGGGGTCTGCTTGGGGCCCACCTGGTGCCCTTGATCTGCTGACCTTGCCCCCACAGGTGCAGCCCCGACGATATCTGAAGAAGCTCCCCCTCCAGGCCAACTTCTATCCTATGCCAGTCATGGCCTATATCCAGGACGCACATAAGCGCCTCACACTGCACACTGCCCAGGCCCTGGGTGTCTCTAGCCTCAAAGATGGTGAGTAGGGCCCAGAGCTCTGCAGAAGGTATCAGACAAAAAGAAGCCCGTCCCCACCCTCAAGGGCTCCCCTCTCTGTTTGCCTCCCTTGCCTCTTTCTGGTCTGCATCACCTCCATGCTTGGAGAGGGGGCGAGCCATTCAGAGCTCTTGGCACATGAGGCAGGCACCTGCTGTCCCCCTGTCCCCTGATGGAGGCAGCAGTATAGGCAACTGGGTGGAGTGTCCTACTGGATCCCCTGAAGAACTGTCAGGGTTATGACTCTTGGGGCCAAAAAAAGAAAAAAAAATGTCAAAAAGCAAAGCTAGGCGCAGTGGTTCACTCCTGTAATCCCAGCGCTTTGGGAGGCCAAGGCAGAAGGCCAGGAGTTTTGAGACCAGCCTGGGCAGCAAAGCGAGACCTAGGCTCTACAAAAAAAAATTTTAAATTAGCTGGATGTGGTAACACGTGCCTGTAGTCCCAGCTACTCAGGAGACTTGAGATGAGAGGATTGCTTGAGCCTGGGAGTTGGAGGCTGCAGTGAGCCAAGATTGTGCCACTGCACTGTAGCCTGGTGACAGAGAAAGACCCAGTCTGAAAAAAAAAGGCAAGAAGCATCAGGATATTGAACAGTGATTCTCAGCTGAGGTGTACAACCCTCTTCTGGGCAGGGATGAGAGTAGGGACAGCTTGTAAAGGGTACTCAGTGTTATGAAATATTAAAGAAATGAGAGAAATAGATACTGTTTTCCTACTAGTGATCATTAAAAGAGAGACTGACATTTTTTTTTTTTTGAGATGGAGTTTCACTCTTTTGCCCAGGCTGGGGTGCAGTGGTGCGATCTCTGCTCACTGCAACCTCCACCTTCCGGTTTGAAGCGATTCTCCTGCCTCAGCCTGCTGAGTAGCTGAGATTACAGGCGCCCACCACCATGCCCAGCTAATTTTTGTATTTTTAGTAGAGATGGGGTTTCACCATGCTGGCCAGGCTGGTCTTGAACTCCTGACCTTGTGATCTGCCTGCCTCAGTCTACCAAAGTGCTGGGATTACAGGTGTGAGCCACCGTGCCCGGCCAAGACTGATGTTCTTAAGAATCAAAATGGGTGGCCGGGCGCGGTGGCTCAAGCCTGTAATCCCAGCACTTTGGGAGGCCGAGACGGGCGGATCACGAGGTCAGGAAATCGAGACCATCCTGGCTAACACGGTGAAACGCCGTCTCTACTAAAACATACAAAAAACTAGCCGGGCGAGGTGGTGGGCGCCTGTAGTCCCAGCCACGTGGGAGGCTGAGGCAGGAGAGTGGCGTGAACCTGGGAGGCGGAGCTTGCAGTGAGCTGAGATCCGGCCACTGCACTCTAGCCTGGGTGACAAAGCGAGACTCCGTCTCAAAAAAAAAAAAAAAAAAAAGAATCAAAATGGGCATTGGGAGCACTGGCCTGGAGTCAGACCCGGGCAGCTGGTCATGTTGGCAATCTCTGTGTGGCCCCCATATCCTCAGAGCAAAATGAACAGTTTGCACTTGGTGGCATCTGAGGCCCTTGAGATCTATCTCTGGGAAGAGCCCTTGCGAAGGGCTGAGTCTAGAGCACCCAGTCAAGGCTAGGCGTGGTCTGATGGCTGGTGAGTGCAGGGGCCTGACTCCCTGCTGGGAGGAGTGTGCCTTTCTCTGCCAGTAGCAGCCCCTGGTCCATCTATGTCATGACTCCTAACAGCAGCCCAATATCCCTGACTGGATTTTCTCCTCTACCCCTCTGGGATGTGGTGTATGAAAAAATGACTGTCTTCTATACAAGGGATCCATTTTAGGATTTTCAGACATCTTTCTGTGATTGTTCTGGGTAAAAAGACTGAGCAACTACGCAAGTCAGTAAGGACTGGAGAGGTGAAAGGGAGAATAGGGCCATATGTCCCGGTGGAATGTAGGGCAGCTGGTGTGGTTTCCCTCGAGATCTTGTATAAGAACAGCTGCACCCACCTCCAACACCTGCACACACGGGGGCCTCTGTCCCCAACACATCAGCCATGCACCGAGCCCCTGCTCCAAGCATACTCTAGAAAAGAAAGCAAAGGTGGTCATGTGCCATCTCTTTTTCCTGGGGCAACCCCAGATGACACTTAATATGAGCCTCTGCCTGACTTGCCATCTGGCTGTCCTTTCCATAGCCCTACTTTTAACACACAGGCAGTCAGAGTTTGAATCTGGCCTGCTGGGGCTGTCTGGCTGTCCAGTGTAGAACAAGGGCAGGAGAGCCTGTGTTTTAGTCACAACAAAACCTGCCCAACCTGAGCAAACCTGCCCCAGATTACGGAGGTATGCAGCAACACTATCAGTGGCTGTTGATCAAAGTTTTTCGTTTCTGGTTTATTTCGTTGTATGTAACCCATCCTGATTCAGTTTCCTGCCTGGGCCCCTAGGCCTGGTCCCTACTTCTGAATCCCAGAGCTTTGGGGGTAAACTGCCAGGGCCAGCCTGCCCCTTTCTGAGCCTCATGCTTCCTCATCTGCAAAATAAGGCTGCACAGGACCAGCGTCTCTTCAGGTTCCCTCCCAGCTGTGGGAACCCGTGACCTCCTCTCCTGAGTGATTCAGCTTCTGTCTCTCCAGCTGGGCTTTTCCCTCAGGGTCTGTGGCTGGGATTCTCCTTCTAAAGGTCAGTGTCTGCTTGGGGGTGGGGGCAGGCCAGCACTCACTGTTTGCTTCCCCAGGCCAGCTGGAGGTGATCTTGGACCGGCGGCTAATGCAGGATGACAACAGGGGCCTAGGCCAAGGGCTCAAGGACAACAAGAGAACCTGCAACCGTTTCCGCCTCCTGCTAGAGCGGCGAACCGTGGGCAGTGAGGTAACACCTGGGGCTGACACACAGGGAGCCAGGTCTAGCTAGTCCCTGGGGGTGGCCTGGGGGGTCCAGCCTAGGGCTCGAGGAACGTAGCTAGAGGTGAACAAGGGAGAGAGAGTAGGGCTGAATTCCTGGGGTTGGGGGAGGCAGTCTGGCGTTTTGTGTCCCATCTCACGCAGCCTGGCACCTTCCTTTCCCAGCAGCGCCCTGTCGCCTGTGCCCCTCATGTTCATGTTCATCTCCCACCTTCCTCTGTGCTGCCCTCCTCTGCCCTGTCCCAGCATTCTCTAAGCCTGGGCTCCAACCCTGCTCATCTCATGGCTTTCTTTGCCCCACCAGCCTGACTTTTTCTCCAAACTGGCAGCCATGTTTAGGGGCTTGATCTTTCACAGCAGCAGGAGCGGTAACCGAGAGGTAAGGGGTCGGCTCTGGGAGCGGGGAACTAGTATGAGCAAGGCATAGCTGCGCCGGAGCCCAGGTGACAGAGCCCGCCGCTCAGTCACTCGTGCATCAGATAGATATTGAGCACCTGGTTTACTGTGAGGACCCAGAGGGACATAAGTGCAGACAGTGCTGACTCTCCCAGGAGTTTACTCGTGAGTAGGGGTGGCAGAGAAGCCATGTGTATAAAAATGCAAGGTAGAAAAGGGCTCTGTCTCACTGATCCCGAGGAGCAAGGTAATAATGTGGGCTAAGGAGATTGAGGTCGAGGAGGTGTCACCCAGGTGTGGCTTTGATGAATGGGGGTGTGATTTGAAGATGTGAACCAGGGCACAGGGTAGGAGGCAGGAAAGACAGCAGGCTGGGGAACAGCAGTGAGTTCCTTAGTTACACTGGAACTACACTGTCCAGTATGGTGGCCAGTAGCCCTATGTGGCTATTTAAATACTACTAAATCAAGTAAAAAATTTGCTTTCTTATTCCACTGGCCACACTTCAAGTACTCAGTGGCCACAAGTGGCTAAGTGGCTGCTGTATTAGACCATGTGGTGTCACATATTTCCATCCTTGCAGAATGCCCTCTTGGCTGGTGCTGGGCTGGAGTGCTGGGGGGAGATCAGGGCAGGTGGCAGAGCACCTTGAGTGCCTGCTAAGAGGTCAGGACCTTATCCTGGAGGCTAAGGAAGGAGCTGAGCAAGGAGGGACACCATCAGAACTCTGCTCTCAGCATGTCACGCTGACAGTAGGGAGCAGGTTGGACCTGTGGGAAGGGAGACTGGAGGAGGGTGACAGTGTGAGGCTGTTCAGGCAGGACGTGCTGGCTGCTTGAACTAGGCCAGAGGCTGGAGAAGTTGCAGGTGGCTATGAGGACACTGCCGAGGTGAGACGGAAGAGGGTTTAGCATTACCTGGGAATGCAGAGGGAAGTGAGAGATGCTGGGCGCTTGGAAGGAGGGGGACGCCAGGGACAGAAGTCCAGAATATTCAGCCCAGGCCTGTGAGTCTGACGTCCAGGTGAGCTGCTAAGGAGTAGCCCTGCTGGCAGAGCCCCGGCAGCGCTGGGCCTGAGAGCCCGGCTGGCACTGTGGATGTGGTGTCACGCATGAAGCCACAGAATTACCCCGAGCACTCTGGATTGGAGGCCCGTGCTCCATGGTGAGGCCTGCGTCTGCCTGTCTGCCATCCTCCCTGCACTGTGGATCTGTGTGTGAGGGGAGATATGGCTGATGGGAGTGGGTTGCTCATGATAGTGTTATGTGAACAAGAAACTAAAACGTGGAAAAGAAACGGCGTAGTGAAATAGCCCTCCGAGTTGGGTGAGATGGCAAATGTCCACACTTGAAGGGTTAGGGGAACCTCGCCTGGAGCCAGGCACGCCCTTGAGTCCAGGCACACCAGGAAAGCTCTTTCCAAAGGAACTGACCTGGGTGTGCTTTTATCCTGCCTCATCCTCTCCCCTCAGCCTGGCTTCAGTCCCTCACCAATATCTCGGGTCAATCTTGCAGGTCCAAGATAGCCACTCTACCAGCTACCCATCCCTCCTCAGCCACCTGACCTCCATGTACCTGAACACCCCGGCGCTCGCTCTGCCTGTAGCCAGGACGCAGCTCCCAGGCCCTGGTCTGCGCTCATTTCATCCTCTGGCTTCCTCACTGCCTTGTGACTTCCACCTGCTCAACCTACGTACGCTGCAGGCTGAGGTGAGTGTCCCTCAGTGTGACACGCTGAGAGCAGAGTTCTGATGGTGTCCTTGCCTGCTCAGCTCCTTCCTTAGCCTCCAGGATAAAGTCCAGACCCCTTAGCAGGTACTCGGCTCTGAACCTCCAGGACCAGGTTCTGGTCTTTTCTTACCCACATGCCTCCCTGTGCCAGCACTGCCTTTGGGCAGAGGTGCTGCTGCATCTCCAATCTCTGAAAGCCCTGCACCCACTTCCTTGGGCACTGTCTGTCATCCAGGAGGACACCCTGCCCTCAGCGGAGATGGCACTCATCTTACACCGCAAGGGTTTTGACTGCGGCCTGGAGGCCAAGAACTTGGGCTTCAATTGCACCACAAGCCAAGGCAAGGTGAGTAGGGTGGGGAAGCAGAACACCTGGGAACGGCAGGCGTGAGCTTGGTAAGACTGGGCTGAGATTCGGTGACAGGCTGGGAGAAGAAAGTGTCACTCCAGGGCTTTCTGGAGAGAAGCGGGGAAGCTGTGGACATGTTTTCAGAGCTCCCGAGGCCTAGCAGGGGAAGTTCCAGACAAGGCAGATCACTTGAGAACTGTTGTTCCCTGAGCACGGACCTCTGTCAGGCAAAGTAGAAAACACCAGAAATAGAAAACCAGAACCCATCCTGTTAGTTACTTTGTAAGCTCATATCAGCCGGCACTGATAAATGTCCCCGGGCACCAGGTCCTCTGCTGGGCTCCAGTGTTTCAGAAGTGAACCAAGACATGGTCACTGTTCTCACAGAGCTCACAGCTCAGTGGAACGATTCTTACCTGGAGATCTGTAGGCAGGCTTTAGGGTTGAGCAAATCTCAGCAAGCCCATGATACTGGATGCACACTCATGTGTAAGAAGCTGTGGTGTTGCTGAGAGGGGCCAGCCGGAACTGGAGTGCAGTGGCATGATCTCAGCTCACTGCAACCCCCACCTCCCAGTTCAAGGGATCTTCTGCCTCAGCCTTCCGAGTAGCTGGGATTACAGGCGCCTGCCACCACGCCCAGCTAATTTTTGTATTGTTAGTAGAGACTGGGTTTTACCATGTTGGCCAGGCTGCTCTCAAACTCCTGACCTCAGGTGATCCACCTGCCTCTGCCTCCCAAAGTGCTGGGATTATAGGTGTGAGCCACCGCACCTGGCTGAGATTCTTAAAGAGTTAACAAATTGTAGATGAACAGCTGCATTCTTTAGTGTCTCAGCACCCAGCACAACCCTGCAGCTTCTCTCCTCTCCACAGGTAGCCCTGGGGAGCCTTTTCCATGGCCTGGACGTGGTATTCCTTCAGCCAACCTCCTTGACATTGCTGTACCCTCTGGCCTCCCCATCCAACAGCACTGACGTCTATTTGGAGCCCATGGAGATTGCTACCTTTCGCCTCCGCTTGGGTTAGGGCTTCTTGTGGCCTGAAGAGAAAGTTCATTTACAGAGATGGCCTCTTAACATGAAGATCGTTGGACAGGCCACATGGGTATCCCATCCCGATCTGCCTCCCAGAACTGTGACACACTGGGCTCTGCCCTCATTTTCTGTTTATTGCTGCTGCTGTGTTTTGGGGGCAACCCACAAACCCAGTGATGGGTAAATAGGGCAGATGTCAGTGAGATCAGGGAGAGAAGGCCCTTGGTCAGAGTGGGCAGTGCCAGGCTCTGCTTCGGGTTGTGAGTGGACACCCAACTGGGCACAGGCTCAGGCACCCATCCTTTTTCCAAAAGGGGATATAGGAGAAGTGGAAGCAGACAGAAGACGTAAGGGAGGCTAAGTGGGTAACAGCCTGGCATCAGGGTCACCGTGGGCAACAGCCAGCTCTAAGGGAATCCTGTGGTTCCGTAGAGACTCCATGTCCTGGTGTGATGAGCAGGATCAGAGTGACTCTGGGAGGACAGGGATGGGGACCCAGAGTTAGCAATGGGGGTGGAGCAGTAGAAGGAATCACTGTTTCTCCTAGGAGTCTGACGGCCTCGCTGCTTTCTGTGATGGCTTTGCTGTAAGTGCCGCCTGGCCTGCATGCATTGGCTAAGAGGCTGCAGAGTGGCAGGAAGGACTCACTAGAGATTGTCATGGCCAGAGGTCATAGGTCACTTCAGGTAGCAAGACCCCTGGCAAACTAGGCACTTGGCCTATGTACTGATTTGTGGGGTGGTGGCAGGGGCATGGGGTCCTCCACCCTGCCTGAATCCTCTTTGGCTTCTATGCTCTGTACACTGCTGTCCCCAAGAGCTCGCTCTTATTATGGCAGGGGGTGGGGATTGGTCCTGCTTTCTTTCTCTGGAAAGGAAAGCCTCCAAGACCCTATGTGCTTGGGCAGCTTGAGAAGGCGTTCAGCATCACGCCTAGCAGGCAGACCTTAAAGCTTCACCTTTGGTCTATCCTGCAGAGGTGTTCAGTTACTGGCACAGGGGACTAGGGGTATGTAGAGTATATGAGGAGGCAGTATGGCTGCGCAGGAGCCTTCATTTCAGCTTCAATTAATAAAGAAAATTTTATGATAGCTCTATAGATGCTGAAAAGATAATTTGGTAAGATTTAAAATCCATCCCTTATTAAAACTCTTAGTAAATTAAGTCTGGAAAGAAACACCCTAATCTAGATAAAGGTCTGTTTCAGAAACCAACAGTTACTGGCATTCTGAAGAGTCAAACGCCACAGGCATTCCCATTAAAGTCAGAAACTAGCCAAGGGCATGCTATTATTCAGCAATGTCCCGGCACTACTAACCCCTGCAACAAGCCAAATGAGGAAAATAAGGAAGAATTATAATTGTCATTATTTGTAGACAATAAAACTGCCTACCTGTAAAACCTAAGAATCAACTGAAGACCTGTTAAGAGTATTCTGTAAGTCGACCCAATGATATACATCACGTTCCTGTCCACATACTGGTTTTCCCCACATCAGCTGATAAATTCAGTATAATTCCAATGAGATTGGTACTTTGGAATCTGACAGTTCTAAAGTGCATTTGGGAGAGTGAATGTGTGAGAACACTAAGACTACTCTGAATAATAATGAGTGGGGGGTGGACTGCTGAGGGGGAAAAGGCACACGTCCTGCCAGGTTCCCAGAGAACTCTCATGCCACCATTACCTCAGGTGTGACCTGGAGGGGGTCAGACAGACAGGAGAGTCCAGAAACAGACCCAGGGCTACAGGAATTTAGTATATGGTAAGAGGGATGTTTTAAGTGGGGAAAAAGGTGGATTATTTAATAAACAGTACTTTGAGACAACTAGCTGTCAAAGCTAGATCTCGGCCAGGTGCGATGGCTCACGCCTGTAATGCCAGCACTTTGGGAGGCCAAGGCAGGTGGATTACTTGAGGTCAGGAGTTCGACCTGCCTGGCCAACATGGCGAAACCCCGTATCTACTAAAAATACAAAAATTAGCCAGGCATGGTGGCATGTGTCTGTAATCCCAGCTACTCGGGAGGCTGAGGCAGGAGAATCACATGAACCTGGGAGGCAGAGGTTGCAGTGAGCTTAGATCGCACCACTGCACTCCAGCCTGGGCGACAGAGCAAGACTCCATCTAAAAAAAAAAACCACAAAGTAAGTTAGGTCTCTACCTCACAGTGTCCATACAAATTAGTTCCAGAGGGAAGATACACTTAATTACAGATATACTTAAGTAATATACAAAATTACTCAAAAAAATTATATACCTCTGGTGTGGTACAGTCTTTTCTAAACTTTAACATGAGACTTAAAAGATATAATAAGGGAAAAGATAAGCAGATTTTGCACCAAAAAATATCAAAAGTCTCTGTGTGATGGAAAACATCAAGGTTAAAACACAAATGACAGATATGGAAGAAAATATTTGCAGCACATAGAAAAATCGAGTACAATTACTTTAGGAGAAAAACTTGCTTCAGGGTCCTTAGAGAAAGTCACTGGGGACTGCCAAGCAGCCACCTAAAGGCAAGAGTGACAGGGCTGAGTTCTTCCAGGTCATCAGAGTTGTTGCTGCCCCTATTAGGCCACAGAGTGGAACCCTGTTTATATCATAGCAGAAGAAATAGGATTATCAATGTGAACTGCTTAGCATGGTGCCTGGTATATACAAGAGCTCCACAAATGTGAGCTATAATCCTATTAGTAAAGGATGCTAAGCAGTTCTACTGTGGCAGGTGTCATTTGCTAGTAGAATTTGTAATCAAACAGGAGGGGAATCTATGAACACCTAGAAAATTAGCAGAATAAAGGACATTATCTTTGGAGGCTTTAGATGTGCAATGAAATTATTTGTCTGACAGAAACGAGTGCTTAATTCTATTTACTAGCCTTTAAAATGACTTAAGGCAGGCCAGGTGTGGTAGCTCACGCCGTAATCCCAGCACCTTGGGAGGCCGAGGTGGGTGAATCACCTGAGCTCAGGAGTTGGAGACCAGCCTGAACAACATGGCAAAACCCCATCTCTACCAAAAAAATACAAAAATTAGCCAGGTATGGTGGTGTGTGCCTGTAATCCCAGCTACTCAGTAGGCTGAGGCAGGAGAATTGCTTGAACCCGGGAGGCAGAGGTTGCAGTGAGCCAAGATTGCACCATTGCACTCCAGCCTGGGTGACAGAGCAAGACTCTGTTAAAAAAGAAAAAAAATACATAAAATGACTTAAGGCAGTATGGCTCAAGGTGTGATTCAGAATCACCAGAATTGCTGTTGAAAGTACAGATTTCTGGTCTAACTAGAGCTGCTCCTTCAGCCTGGAGGCTGCAATGTAGATGTGTAGGGCAGAGCCACAGCTGCCCTGAGACTGCCGTGTAACAGAAGCAAGAAACAAAAGCTGACTTCAGTGCACAGGGGGATAAAGGCAGATTCCCGGGTACAACCTTTGAACTGGTCTCTGGGAGTAGAGGCCAAAGAATTTGCATTTTCAACAAGCTCCCAGGTGATTCCTGTGCGTGCATAATTTGGAAATGGCCCAACTTTTAAAGCAAGCAGCAACCCTTTACCACAGAGCTGTGGCACTGAGACTTCACAGTTCTTATTTTTTTTATTTTTTTATTTTTTGAGACAGAGTCTTGCTTTGTTGACCAGGATGGAGTGCAATGGCACAATCTTGGCTCACTGCAACCTCTGCCTCCTGGGTTCAAGCAATTCTCATGCCTCAGCCTTCCAAGTAGCTGGGACTATAGGTGTGTACCACCACACCTGGCTAATTTTTGTATTTTTAGTAGAGACGGGTTTTCACCATGTTGGCACGCTGGTCTTGAACTCGTGACCTCAAGTGATCCACCTGCTTCAGCCTCCCAAAGTGCTGGGATTACAGGCGTGAGCCACTGCGCCCAGCCAGCCTCAGTTCTGAGGGTTACCATCAGAATGAACCAAGACATGACAGAAGCCATTTCAACCACTGGAAATGGATCGGATTCTATTCCTACATTTACTTGGAACCGTCCAGCTTTCATGAAGAAGGAAGGGCTATATGGCCAGTTGGAACCACAGAGAGAAAGGCTCCAGTTGAACCATTAAGAGCTGGTCCTCCCATGTAGGGTGAGCCAACCCAGACGGTGTCCTCATATGGCTTGCCTCGGGGTAGGTAAAACGTAAAACTTTGAACACTTGTGCAGAGAGAGCAGCATCTTTAATTTGACCTGAACCTGACTTGCTTACCTTGCTCTGTGACTGTGGTTAGTAATGAGGCATCTGTGCACTCACAGAGGGGGAAAATCAGTCTAGGATGGTGGGAATGAGGCTTACCGTCCACAATAGAGATCTCTGAACAAAATCTTTGTTCTTCCCTAACAAAAAAGTGTGTGAAGGACAAACACTTCAAGGGGTCATTCTCATTTTCATCGTGAGAAGAGGTAAGATACCAGATCCTTCACAATGACCCTCAGTTTTACTTAGGGTCAGTGAGAAATCAATTCAGATGGTAACAGTCACCAGGACGAACTGGGTCTGCAATCTCCCTTCATTTTGGCTCCTGACTTTGGATCTCCCTAGTTGAGAATAAACCTGAACTAAAAATCCATGTAGTTTGGTAGTCTGGGCACAGGAAACCAAAGTGGTGTTGGAGATGCGGACTCTCCGGCATTCAGAATGTGACAGGGTTGAGTGTGGAGACCTGGAGAAGGCCCCTCAGTGGAGGAGGAAGCACTGGTGTTTCCCAATCAGCATGCCTCCTGTAAGTTTGAATATTTGTGTCCCTCTCAAACTCATACTGAAACTTAACCTCCAATGCAGCATATTAAGAGGTGGGGCCTTTGGAAGGTGATGAGGTCATGAGAGCTTCTCCCTCGTGAATAGGATTAAGCCCCTAGTGAAAGAGGCTTCACACAACCTGGCTTTTTTACCGTGTGAGGATGCAGTAACAAGGCACCACCTTGGAAGAAGAAAGCAGCCCTTGCTAGACACTGAACCTGCCAGCACCTTCATCTTGGACTTCCTACCTCTAGAACTGTGAGAAAATGACTTTCTGTTCTTTATAAATTACCCAGTCTCAGGTATTTTGTCATAACAGCACAGACTAAGATACCCAGAGACGTGCATTCCAACTAGAGGCGCAAGCACACCTATAATTCTGCCCTCTTAACTCCCAATGCCAAAAATTGCTAAACAAATATTAAAAATGTAAAAACAGGCCGGGCGTGGTGGCTCATGACTGTAATCCCAGCACTTTGGGAGGCCAAGGCAGGCACATCACCTGAGGTCAGGAGTTCCAGACCAGCCGGACCAACATGGCAAAATCCTGAACTCCACCTCTGCTAAAACAAGATACAAAAATTAGCTGGGCGTGGTGGTGCTCTCTTGTAATCCTAGTTACTCAGGAGGCTGAGACAGAAGAATCGTTTGAACCTGAGAGGCAGAGGCTGCAGTGAGCTGAGATCTAGCCATTGCACTCCAGCCTGGGCAACAGAGCAAGACTCCGTCTCAAAAAAAAAAAAAAAAAAAAAAAAGCAAAAACACTCAAACTCAAAGGAAATCTTTGACAAAGAATGGAGAGAATAATACAGCCATTAGCAGAGGCTGAGGCTAGGCAGCTTGAGAGAAGTAGAGACCAGTTCAGGATGGTAGGTGCTGGGACTTCAAAGTCCACATGGGACAGGTAACCAAGTGTAACATCAGGGGACCAGAACCATACTCTGAGAGGAACACAGGCAGGAAAATGTAAGCTGTAAACAAAAACAGGATGACATGCAAGCAACCTAAAATAATACTTTAAAATATCTATATGTGCAATCACCAAAGAGCTAAAGGAAGATAGTCTTGCAATGAGAAAATGACCGAAAAGCAAATAAGATTTTACAAATTATACATGCTGGAAATGTAAAAATACAATTATTGAATTATGCTTTATGGGATAAATCCTAGACTGGAAGCAGATGACATAAAAATTTAGCAGGTCTGGAAAACAACTGAGGAATCACCCAGAATGCACCACAGAGATAAAAGAAATATAAAAAAGAAGCTAAGACAGAGGATAGGCTGAGAAGCTCTGGCATAATGTTTCATAGCAGTTTTGGAAAAAAAGACTGGTGAGAATACAGGGAAGGGAAAACAAAGACGGTGAATTTTTCAGAACTGAAGAATGATGTGAGATCTCAGAATCAAAGAGCTCATTAAGTTCCAAGAAAGGTACATTTAAAAAAACGGGCCAGGGCCGGCGCGGTGGCCTCAAGCCTGTAATCCCACGCCACTTTGGGAGGCCAGAGGCAGGATGGTAATCACGAGCAGAGGAGTCGAGACTATCCTGGCTAACAGGTAAACCCCGCGTCTACTTAAAATACAAAAATAAAAAAGCTAAGCCGGGCGTGGTGGCGGCGCTGTATTCAGCTACTTGGAGTGAGGCGGGAGAATGGCGTGAACCCGGGAGGCGGAGCTTGCAGTGCCGCCGAGATCCACGCCAACGCACTCAAAGCCTGGGGAGCACAGCGAGACTACCGTCTCCAAATAAAATAAATAAAATAAAAAAAACAAAATAAAAATAAATTAAAAATAAAAAACGGCCAGGTGCATGGCTCACGTCTATAATCCCAGCACTTTGGGAAGGCCAAAGGCGGGTAGATCACTTTGGGGTCAGGAGATTGAGACTACGCTGGCCAACATGGTGAACACCTGGTCCTCACACACAGAATACAAACCAAAAAACAAAAGCAAAACAAAATGCTAGCTGGCATGCTGGCACACACCTATAGCCTGTAATCCCAGCTACTTGGAACGGCTGAGCAGGAGAATCGTTGAACCCAGGAGATGGAGTTGCAGTGGTGAGAATCACTGCACTTCATCCTGAGTGACAGAGAAACTGCGTGTCAAAAATAATAATAATAATCATTCAATGTAGATATAATTGCAAATTAATCGTATAGATAACAACCTAAACAAGACCAGGCCGCAGTTGGCTCACGCCTGTAATTCCAACCACCTTGCGGAGCCAAGGGTGGTGCGGATCAACTTGAGGTCTGGAGTTTGAGATCAGCCTGCCCCCACAGCAAACCTCTGTCTGTACTAAAATACAAAAATTAGCTGGGCTGTGGCACAATGCCTGTAGTCAAAGCTACTCAGGAGGCTGAGGCACGAGAACTAGCTTGAACCCAGGGTGGATCGGAGGTTCAGTGAACTGAGAAACCACCATTGCACTCCAGCCTTGCGCAACTACAGTGAGTGAAATTCCCTCTCAAAAGAGAAAGCAATATAGAGAAGAACTTATTGAGAAACTGCAGGGAATGAATATAACCTTTATAGCAACCCATGGTTTGAACTGTAGATGTTATGCCAGTATTTTTTTTTTTATTTTCTTCCACCCCGAGACAGAGTCTCACTCTACACGGGCTGGCGAGTACAGTGGGCATGGACTTCGGCTCCACTGCAACTCCACCGTCCTGGTTTAAGCTGATTCTCCCTGCTTCAGCTCCTGAGTCAGCTGGGACACAGGTGCCCGCCACCACGCTCAGGCCTAATGATTTTGTCATTTCTCAGCTTAGCAGATGGGGCTTCTTCACAGCTCGTTAGCCACGGATGGTCTCAACTCTCCCTGACCTCGTGATCCGCCTGCCCCTCAGCCTCGGCCAAGAACAGTGCTGGAATACAAGGTGTGAGCTGCGCACCCGGCATTCAGCCTAAGTGTGTTTCTTTGGAACTTATTAAATGTCTCTGGAGGCTGGCGCTGAATTGGGATGCTTTCATGCTTGTAATCCTCAGCACTTTGGGAGGCCAGATCCACAAAAGTTGTCTTTAGTTGTATTTTAGATTTAACTAAAAATACAAAAATTAGCTGCAGGCATGGTGGTGTGCGCACCTTAATCACCAGATTACTTGGGAGCTGCTGCCATGCAGATCGCCCTTAACCCAGGAAGGCAGAGGTTGCACGCTGCGAGCCGAGCATTGCGTCCCACTGACTCCAGCCTGGCGATAGAGGACGACTAACATCTCAAAAAAAAAACAAAAAAAAAAAAAAAAAGAAAAGAAAAATCTCTGAAACATTTTCATGTCCTGTTTGGCGCTTACTGACCCTGCTGATTCTTAAATCAGCTCTACTTTCTGGGTTGGCCGCGGTGGGTTCACGCTGTAATCCCACACTTCTGGCGAGGTCCGAGACAGGGTGCCATCACGAGGTCAGGAGATCAAGACCATCCTGGCCTAACACCGAGTGAAACCCCGTCTCTACTAAAAACTACAAAAATTCTATCCGGGCTGCGATGCGCGCGCGCCTGTAGTACCCAGCTAACACGGGTAGGCTAGGCAGGAGAATGGCAGTGAACCCGGGAGGCCGGAGCTTGGCAGTGAAGCCAAGATCGTGCACTGCACTCCAGCCTGGCGAACCAGGGTCTGAGACTCCATCTCAAAAAAAAAAAAAAGACAAAGTCTACTTTTGCAATTTGGATTAGTAATTTTATGAATGCAAATTGGAGATGCTGTTCAAAAAAAAAAAAAAAGAAAAGAAAATAGAAAAGTCTTACAAAGGAAAGACAGTCACAGTGATAGCAGACATCTAGTTAGCTACAATAGACACCTAGAGTCCATTCAAACCTAGAGAAAACTCCACCTTGAATTTGCTCTCAGCTACACCATTCAAGAGCAAGGGGGAAATGACATTTTCAGACACACAAAGACTCAAGAGTTTGCAATGTACAAAACTTTAGTGGAAGAAAATAGGTGTACTTAAGCAAAAAGAGAATTTGTCTAGGGGCATGAACTGATGAGCGGGAGGGTATACCTAAATATTGGCTATACATGTAATACTATTTTATAGTTTAAAAAGAGGCAGGAACTAAAATTCTAGATAGCAATAAGCACTCTCTCTTCCGTGATTCCCACATGCCCAAAGAAACATATGGGAATGTTGACTGCAGCCGCTATTCTGGTCGTTGGCTGACAAAATGAACAACTAATTGGTCACAGAAGCTGCCACATAAAATACTATCTGTTAATAAAATACCATCTTAATAACTAAAGGAGGTGATGTATATATATACAGTGTAGTCCAAATAAATCTCAAATAATTGGTGAGGGTACAGGAAAGCTGCCAGAGTTGAGATGTAGCTTTCAACTACTTAAAAAAGCACACTGGGGCACAGTGGCCACGCTAGTAATCCCAGCACTCTTGGGGAAGGTGAGGCGGCCGCGGAATCATCCCTGAGTCAAGGATTTGAGACCAGCCCTGGCCAACCATGGCGAAACCTCCATCTCTACTAAAAATACAAACTTAGCCGGAGCTGATGGTGTGCACCTGTAATGCCCCAGATACTGGCAAGGAGAATCACTTGAAAACCTGGGAGGCGGACGGGTTGTAGTGAGCC